CCCCCGGCCCCACACCCCCGCCGGCCGTACCGCCCCAGCTTGGCGGCTGAGGTGGCGTGTAAAATGCGACCTGCTCGCCGGCGGCGCTGCGAGTCCAGGTCACCTCTGCATCAGGGGGCGGCTGCGGCTGTGTGCCGAGGGTCTTGAGGATGACCGAGAGTGACGTCACCGTCTTGCCGAGCCCCTGCAGGGGGCCGAGGGAGGGTTACAAAGTGCGAGAGTCTTTGAAACGAGGGCTCACTGAGGGTCGGCACGTGGCTCGCCAGGCAGCGGGGGGTTGGGCCGTGGGCGGGGCGCGATGCGGCGTGCGCGTCGAAAGCGAAAAGCGGGGTGGCACGAGCAGCAAAAAGAGACAGCGTCTGCACGCCAGGATGCACGTTGTGGGATTGATTGCGAGGGAGCAGGGCAGCCCACACCACCTGCCCCGCCGGCCTCACTGCCCGGCCTTACCGGCTCATCGCAAAAGAAGCCGCCCCGTACGTCGCTCATCTGCGGCGGCGAGTCCACAGACAGCTCCCCTGTCACCTAGGGAATGGGCGGATCCAGGGGTTTCAAGGGGTTCCGGCGGTTTCAAGCCGAGATGAGGCGCAGGGGGCTTAGTGACGCCCACGGCACGGGGCGCCGCACGGCGCGCGCGCGGTGTGGCGTGGACGCGGGGCGCGCGCGGGCGCGCGTGCACGGCGCCGGCGGGCGTCGAGGGGCGGCGCGTTCGAAAGCGGAAACTCACCTGGTTTACGAAGAGGCGCAGGCCGCTGGAGGTGACGAGGCGGCGAACAAAGGGGTGAGGTGCCCCCGCGCCGGGCGCCTCGCGCGCGGCCATCCAGCGCAGCGCGCGGCGCTGCCGGGCGGGGGCGACGAGGGGCACGGCAACGCCCGTCAGAAGGGCGCGCGGCGCAGGTGAGGGCGGCGCCGGGCCCAGCGGCTGCAATGGCGGCGGCGTCGCGGGGGCCCCTGCTGCGGCCCCCGCCTCACGCCACCGCCCCGACGAACCTCCACGAACCCTCATCTTAGCCCCAGGCTCCACACGAGCCGCCGCCTGCCCCCAACCCATGCCCTCCCTGCCACGAGGCTCGTGCTGACCCCACCCAAACCCCCGCCCCCAGGCTCCCCGACCCCATGCTCTTTCCCCACGCGGCGCCCCAACCTGGTGGGGATACAGCGTCAGCTTCAGCCCCGGCACCGCCCCGCAGTCCAGGCGCCGCAGCAGCCGGCACGCCGCGGCGGCGCGCGCCAGGTCGCGCGGCGGCAGCCGGGAGAGCACAGCGGACAGCGCCTCGTCGGGCAGATCTGCGATGCTGCTGCCGCCGCGCGGCGCCGCGCCGCCCGGGCCGCCGTCGGCGCCGCCGTCGCCTTCGACGTCGGGGGGGCCGGCCGCGGGGGGAGGGCCGTCCCCGAGCAGCGAGGCTGTCAGGGACGGCAGCTCTTGGAAGCAGCCCAAGAGGCTGCAATGGGGATAGAGCGGTTGGTGGGCGGCACGCGTGGGGAATAGCAAAGCCAACAGGCCCAGGCAGGTGTGGCAGCCAGAGGGGCATGGGGAAGGGGTTAGGTCAGAGGCAGGCGTAGGGTGCATGTGGCATGCCTCCCTGGGCAGGGCATGCGTCCCCAGATGCTGGCCCCGCTTCAAGCCCACAGGCGCATGTGTACACATATCATGCAGACAGGGCGCTTGCCACACCCCGCCACGATGTTATCCATGATGGGATCTAAAACCTAAGTATTGATTTGAAGTGTGATTGATCCATGATCCAAACAGACCTGTAGTGCTGTGCCTCCTCATGTTCCGTCGCAAACCGCGGCCCGTCGCCGTCGCGCAGCAGCTGCTCGGCAGCTGCAGCGGCGTCCGCCCCAACTGGCAGGATGTGCCTGGGCCGCGCAAGTGCAAGGCGCCTCGCATGGTCACATGCGTTGCCACTCGCATGCAAGGCACGTGCTGCTGGTTATGCATGCAGCCGCATGAGGCTCCCACCAACACCTCGCTCAACGGGCCGGCCCGCTTCAGTCCCCTCAGATATCACTGCAGGCGCCAGGCCGACGCTCGGTATCAAGCCCGGCCCTCCCGACGCGCCGCGCCGTGTGGCGCCGCGCCGCCCCGAGCTCAACCCCGCTCGCGCCGCGCACCTCCACACCAGCGCCGCCTTTGGCCCCTTGCTCCACGTGTTGAGCGCGCGCTCCCACAGCTGCTGCGCCCTTACAGGCCCAATCCCCAGCTGCAGCAGCACCACCCCCAGCACCCCGCCCTCCGCCAGCTCAGCGGCCCCCGCGCCGCCATCCACTAAGTTCCCAGCTTGATGCACATCCCTGCTGTCCGCCCCGCCGCCGCCGCTGCCGCCGCGCCGCGCGGGGCCGGGCAGCGCATCGGCAGCAGGCGCCGCGGGCGCCGTGGTGTGCGGCACGGCGATTGCGCTGCATGTGTGGATCAACCGCTCGTGGGACACCATGCGGGCCGCGGCATCCAGCAGGGCCGCGGCGCTTGGGTTGGCTGGCAGCAGCTCGAGCGGCTCGGGCGCAGCTTCGAGACCAGCGCCCCCGCCCGTCCTAGCACCGGCGCCGGCGCCGTCGTCGGCGGGCCTGTTTGCAGTATCAGTGCCGTTGATTTGAGAGTGTATTCTGCGCTTCAAACAGGCGACTGGCAAGCTTGCATCTGGGCATGGCGGGCGCGCACTGGACCCCGCCGCTGACCACCTTGCGATTGCCGCCCACACACATCCACTCATTATGCGCACCATTGTGCATGAAGCTTTCCAGCTTCAAGGTATACCGTTGCTCCATCGATGCGCTGCGTCAAGCGCACGGCGATCAATACCTGGCCCAGCTCCTGCACAACCATCAGACTATGACATGGTATTCTTTGAATAGAAACCTTGCTTATAGTATGTGATCTGCAAAGCTCTTTGTCCTATTATATGATCTTGTTGCGGTGTCACCGTCACGAGTGCCCACGCCTCCCAACAACTTCCACTTGTTCAGTTGAGTTGCTCGCACAGTATATTGACATTATCAACCATTTACCGTCTTGTGCCGCTTTTCGTCTGCCCGCCCAGCGGTTTCGGTCGCTGATGCAGCTGTCAATGTCCCCGGCGTGCCAGTCGATATTGTATTGACAATTAAAAGAATCGTGGCCTACACTTATATGCAGTCATGACATATGCTGCCGTGAAGCCCGCGCATCAGCAAACTGCTGCACGGGTGTCCAGCGGGTCCGGTTGATCGCACACTCGCCGTAGAGGTGCATATGAGAGGGCATAAATGCATCGTGTTGATAGTATTGGCCTGGCTGTTGCTCGCGCTGGTGGTGCCCGCGCAGCTGGCGAGCGCAGCGATCGGATGGCGCCCCGACGCGGAAAGCGCCGCGGAGGGCTCCCGGGCCGCCCCGTCGCGACCGGCAGAGGTTGAAGATGCTGAGGATGCCAGAGAGCAGCGCCCCTGGAGCGCATACGACCGCCTGAAGGTGGTCAATGTGGAGTCTGCCAACGTGGGCAAGGCGCTGTATGACGTGCTGCGACATGAGTGAGCGCGGCGCTGTCTAGCACTTGCCGCGCCGCACAATCTTCCACTGCACTTGTGAACATCTTGCGGATGATTGCCCCTGCACGCATTGGACGGGGCATGCAGATGCGCTTGCCTGCGTGGTTGAGTTTGAATGGCACCTGGGCGTAACGGGCACTGCAGCAGCGACCACAACGGCGTGAGGATGGGACAAACGGCAGGGCATGCGCCCAGCCTGCAGCTGCACCTGCTTTCCGCGCATGGGGCGCGTGCGTTTACCCATCGGCAGGTTCAGTGTCGACCGCCACCAGCTGCAGCGGTCCCTGAGCTACCTGGGGCCGCACCCGCGGCTGCGGCGGCTGGTCGGCCGGATGCTCAAAGCTGGGGACGAGACCTTCAGGGTCGGGGTGGTTGGGGGATCCATCAGCTACGGCCACGGTGAGGGGCTGGCAAAGCAGAGGTTGAACCCGGCATTCACGAAGAATCGTCTGCTGTATCAAACCCAACGCCAGCCTCGCCGTCGGCTTCTGCACCACCAGCCAGCCGCACCCTCTCCGCCACGCACCCTTCCCACTCCCCTCTGTGCGCCCCCCCCCCCGCCCCAAAAGGAGCCTCTCAGGCTGGCTCCACGGATTGGTTTGCCCTGGTGCAGAAGTGGATGCACCGCGCCTTCCCCGCCGCGCGCCTGGACTTCCACAACGGCTGCGTGCCCGCCACGCCGGCCGCGTTCATGACCCTGTGCCTGGAGCACTACCTGGACCCCCTGGCCGACCTCGTGTTTGTCGAGGTGAGAAAAGGTATTGATCGTATATCTGAAGCATGCACTTTATGTTTGATGATGGCAGCTCTGCGTAGGGTGCGGCGGGGGCGTTCGAGGGCAGCAGCCTCACACCCTACAGCAGCTTTGCCCCTGCTCTGCCCGCCCTGCCTGCGCTCCCAGCCCGGGCCAACCACCGATACCGCAATTGTGAAGCCTCGCGCCGCTTTGACGACCGCCGTCCAAACCTTTGCGCCTGCAGTACGTGCTGAACGACGGGATGGAGGACCGCGTGATGCACAACAGGCGCGTGCGCATATACGAGCGCCTGGTGCGCCGCATACTGGACCAGGCGCACTCGCCAGCAGTAATCCTCGTGAATGTGAGTGGCTGTGCGGCTGCCGATTGGCTGGTGCACAGCTCCACTTTTACTGACACGCGCTGCGTGGCTTTGCGCCCTGCTAGACTCATGCATGTGCATGTGCGTACACTCATGTGAATGTTAGTGTATGTCCACATGCATGATTGTGCGCGTGTATGAGCGCACGGGTGCATGTACGCATGTTTTTGGATGCGCGCATGCGCACGTCATGCTGATGTCATCATCGCTCCCGACCCTCCCCAAGGTCGGCACCCACGGCATGTTCCACGACCGCGAGTACGTCAGCGACGCCGGGAAGCTCGAGTGGCGCCCCTTTCACCACACACTGGAGGACCTTTATGGCGCAGTGGCCCAGTACTACGACCTCTCAGTGGTCTCTTTCAGGTGACCATGCAGCACATCCTTGAGCAACATCTTTCAATTGCAGGTCCAGGTCGACGCTGCGTGGCGGCTGGGCCGCAGATTCGAGCGGGATCCTGCTGCCTCGGCTGACGTTGCTCCCCTCGTGCCCCTGGCACGCACCCTCCGCCGAGCAGGAATGCGATCTACAACCTGGGCCAGTCGAGCGACTACCATTTTGACAAGTACCTAAAGGGAGATTTCATACACCCAAACGATGCTGGGCACAAGGTGCGCGGGCTCCCGCTCCGCTTCCGAGCGTCGGGGCCCAGGCGCGCCTGTGGGGAAAGAGGGAGCCGACCGACAGGTGACAGCCTCAATGCTGCACCCGACAGCCAAACGTTTGAGCCGCCGCGAGGCAAAATCCGAATCATGCATGAACAAATGCATCGAAATAGCATTTCATATGAGCGGCTCAACCCCTCCTGATTGCGCCGCGGCCTGCAGGTTATGGCGGACATGGTGGTCCACCTGCTGCAGGAGGTGGCGCTGGGGCTGGCCCTGTGGCCGATGACGTTCGCTGACGAGGCGGCGGCGCTGCGGAAGCTGCCAGACCCAATGTACCCGGGTGAGCGGGTGGGGCTCACGTTTGCTGTTGGTTCCGTGGTTTGCCTGCACCCAAGCAGTTGCCTCGGCCGGGGCTTTGGCAACCAGGCGCTTTGTGAGCATGCATGCGCGACCAGGGGTCGCCTTCGCGCAAGCGCCCTCGCGCCACCCTGGCTTTGGGGCCGCCGCAGGCAACCACCCGTCCCTGCGGCGGGTGTGCTTCCACGCCGAAGACTTCCCGACCACCGTCGTCGGCCATGACCACGGATGGGAGTGGGTGAACGAGGCGACGGACGCGTCTCCCAAGTGGGGCTTTGTCTCCAAGACCCCGGGGTCCGCTTTGAGGGTGAGCCACGGCGACTAGGATCGGCAGGGCGCGAAGTGCGCGACCACGCCGGTCAGGCAGATATGCCGAAATTTCAAGATGTGCGCATGCCCCACAGGGTACGCGCGCCCCGCGCGCCAGTGCCTGCAGCCACGCGGTCACGCATCCAGCAGCCTTAGTTGCCGCTGGCCATACCGCCGCCGGCGTTCTTGCCACCATTGGATAAGTAACGACGGGGGTCAACGTTTGGGATGCGTGCCACCATGCAGGTGCGCCTGGACACATCGCTTGCGGTGGTCGACCCAGGCGCCCTCATCCACCAAGCCCCCATCGACTCGGGCGCCGCCGCCCCTGCTGGCGGCGGCGCCGCGGCGGCGGCGGCGGCCAAGCTCAAGCACACCGCGGTGGTCATATTTTCCTACCTCAAGAGCTACGAGCAGATGGGAAAGGCAGTGTTCAGGTTTGCTGCGTGCGGCCTGGTCCCGGTGCCCCGCGGCTTTCGTGCATGGAGTTGTCATGTCGGCATCAGCGAAGCCGCAACCGACGCCCTCGAGCGGCCGGGTGCGGCCCCGAGAAGCCGCGGCCTCTGAAGTCGCTGCGTCTCCCTCTTGCTGCCCTGCTTTGATGTGCGCTGCGCAGGTGCGAGTCGGGCTGCAGCTGCAACCCGCGCCACGCAGACGGCTTCACAGAGCTGCCTGAGTCGACCATCTACTTTGTGCAGCTGCACACGACGCCGTCCAGGAACTGCACCCTGGTGGTCGTGAACGACAGCGAGCCCGGCGGCAAGTGAGCCAGCGCGTCCTGCAGAGCGCGGCCCAGGGGACGCGCCGCAGTGTGTTGTGACAAGCATACAGCTCGCACTGCATCCTCTGCCAGTGGCACCCGCAGCGCCGACGGCGGCCAGCCCGACTCGTGCATAGAGTCTGGTGAAGCCTCGCATGAATTTCTGGGCTGGTCGAGCATGTACCTGTATTAGGCTAGTTGAGCATGCGTGCCAAAGAGCGCAGCGGCGCTCGCGGTTGCTCGCGAGTATCCTTGGGGTTGCGGAGGCCCCCCGCTGGGGCCTCGCGCCGAGTGCATGCGGAGGTCCCGCACGCGTGCCGCGTGCTCCGACACTGCGCCTGCTGCGCCGGGGCGCGCAGGGACACCAAGTTCAAGGTGACGGGGGTCATGGTCAACATGGTCAACGACGCGACAAAGGACCTCAACGAGGCCGACTTTGCAGAGGACTGGCCGCAGTGTGGGTGCCGTTTGAACGTGGGGCGTGCGTCGAGCGTATGGATCGGTCGTCCTACGTGGGATGACTGATTGAGGGCTTTTTGTGCGCTTGTGAGGGCAGGCATGGTGTGAGTCTTGTGCCGCGACATGGTTGCTTGTGCGGCAAGCGGCGCAAATAGCGAGCCAGTGTTTGAGGGACCTCCTGGTGAAGAGCAATGTGACAAGCCCCAGGTGTCAAGCATTGCTTGCTTCTCGAACTCGGCTCTCGGCGCACCCCAAGTTCACCTTTCCTTACCCTGCACCCTCGCAGATGGCGTCGGGGGCGTGCAGACGCTGCCGCGGGAGTTCAAGCTCCATGTGGCCGCCCGCGGCACCAAGCCCGGCGACGCGCGGCACCGCCTGAAGGGGCGCGGCCGCCTGGGGCCCCGCGAGCGCGCCGCGGCTCACCTCTGACTGGACGCCTCGCTGGCCAAGCGCCCGATGCCGCCGCTGTCGACACGCTTATGTAAATTATGTGTACAGTCAGTGCGTCAGCGCCCGCCCGCCCCCGAGGCAAACCCCTGTTGCTTTGCGCACACACCACCTGCCGCTGCCTGCGCTGCCGCTGCCCCCCCACACGAGGGACGCCTTGCACAATGCGCCAGGCGTCTTCAACAGGAGGGGGCGCAAGGAATGCGGCGTCCCTCCCCCAAAATGCAGTGTCCTGTTTACAAGTTATCAGTTTGGTTAAGCAATGCGTAGTGCGGGCTGCAAGGTTGCTGCAACCGATTGGGAACGCGGCTGCGGGCAGACCCAGGTGGCTGCCGGCGGGCGCCCTGTCAAACCGCCTCGGCAGGCCAGGGCGCGCGCAGCAATGAGAGGGCCCGCTGCAACGCCGGCGGCACACTGGCCATGCCAGTCGTGCGCCCCATGCTGGCGGCAGTCCCCGTTGAGCTCTTGAACAAGTGCCGGTGTGGCGCCAGCCTGTTCGCCGCACTGCGCTGGACCAGGCAACGCGGGGCGAGCAGCGCGTCGCTGCCACGCAGGCGGCAGCGCCATCAGCGAGGCGCGGCGCGGCGTCCGGGAACGGGGCTGATTGCCGGGTTTGTGCGTCCATATCCACCGCGTTTGGACCTCGTAAAAGGCAGGCAAGACGAGCGACTCTCCCGGCCTTGCAGGCGGCAGGGCTGGGGGCGCCACGTCTGGCGCTGCGGGCACGGCGAGCTTAGCTCTGCCGGGCCCGGCGCGCTGCCTGGGGCGGGGCAATCCGGCGGTGACCGGCAGTGTGTGCGTGTGTGTGTGGAGGAGGGGGGGCGGTTAAGTGCCTTGTATGGCCCACCATGGGTATGTGCAGTTTCTGCTGCGCACGATGCATTGAGTGCAGTTGGAGCGTGAAGCCGGCGAGCAACCCAGGGAGCTGCCCGGGCGATGTGACAGTTTTGAGCAGTGCTGCGCCCCGCGAGGGCACCCGGCCCCGCGCGGGCCCCGTGGTGTTCAGTTTCGCTGTGGGCGCGCCGCGGCCGCGCATCGCCGTTGGGCGGAGGAATGGGGGAGGCTTCGAGAGGGCTGCACGTGGCAGTTGGGCGGCCCCCGCGGGCAGCAGCATCGCCGCCCCCCTTCAGCCTCCCTTTGCAGGCGCCGGGTGCCGGTGCATCAAGTCGGCGCGGGCCATGGTTGGCCTCCAAGCGTGACGTGGGAGCAAAACTCAAAGCCCGGTGCCAGCACAGGCCCCGCGCGAGTGGAAGCTGCGCCCCGTGCTGCAGCAGCGGGGCGGAAGCCGGGCCCCCGAGGTGCCAGGGGCGGCGCCCCAATGTTGGGGGCTGCCGCGCCAGCATGTAGCGAAGCGAGCGAGGCGAGGCGCTCTCGCGCGCGTGCCAAGGAGAGGCGGCCAGGTAAAGAGGGTCGACGAGCCGACATCACTTTGCAGGTTGCATCCAAATCCGGGGTTCACGTGTACGGTAAGGCTCGGGCGGCCCCAAAGCGGCAGCTGTGCGGGGACCTGCGTGCGCAAGGCAAGCTTCGAACCCACCGGCCCGCCATCGGCCAGCCGAGCCTGCGGGGGGCGGAAGGGGCAGGCCCGCGCCGCCCCTCCCCGCCGCGCCCACCCGGCTACTCACAGAGCGGCTAGCGTGGCCAAGGAAGCGTTGCTTCAGTTGAAGCGGCCGGCGCCTAGCGGAGGAGGTGACAAGGCGACAGTGACCCACCAAAACCCGATCAATTATGCGGTGTCGGGCTCGTGCCGCGTGCCCGCGGCCAAAGGGCCCGCGGGCCGCAATCAAGTCGGCCCAGTTTGCAGTTCTCCGGCTGGATCGTCCACCCTAGACGCGCTGAACTTGCGTGTTAACGCAGCCAAGCGGACCGCGGCGGCTAGCGGCCCGGCGCCCCCAAGCCGCCGCCGCCGCCGGGCCCGCCCCCGCCCGCCGGCGCCCCAGGGGGGCGCTGGTACACGAGCGGCCCTCCGTTGGTCCCGCCAAACCGCCGCCGCCGCCCGAGCTCCCGCGAGAGCCAGGACGCGTACGCCGCGGCGCTCTCGCCGTCCCCAGCGCCGCCGGCCGCCGCGTCGGCGCCCGGGCCTGCGCCGGCGGCCGCGGCGCCGGCCTCCTCTAGATACATCTCCCTGAGCCCCGGCAGAATGTCTGCCAGCGACGTGATCGCCGCGTCCGCCACGCCCACGCGCTCCTCGATGCGGCGCCCCTTCCCCTTCGGCTCCTCCCGCGGCAGCAGCGCGGCGCGCGCCGCGAGCGCGGCGGCGGTGACCCACACAATGTCGACGGGATCTGATCCTTTGAACCGGAAGGTGCCCAGGTGGAGGCACCGGAGGTTGACCACGCGCAGCGGCGCGGGAGGCGGGTCTGCGGGGGTGGGGCCGGAGGAAGGGGCGGACGGGGGGACGGGGCCGGTTAGGTGTTCAGTGGGATAGCGTGCGTGCGCGGAGGGGGGATATGGGCGGAGCGCGCATGCGGCCAGTGGGTGCGACAGGAAGCGTGCTGCTAGCCCCGGCCGCGTTTGCCTTGCGCGCATTCGAGAGGCGGCGGCGGCGGCGCCCCTGACCTTGTGCAGCCGGCTTCTGCTGCGCCGGCCCCGGCCGTGGCGGAAGCCCGTGCGGCTCCAAGCCGCCGCCCCCGCCCCCGCCCGCGCCCGCCGCCGCGGCGCCCGTCCAGGAGAGCTGCCGCGGCGCAGCGCGCAGCGAGGGCTGCCGCAGCGACGACAGGTCCGGCGGCGCGGCGCTGGATTGGGATGCCGGCCGGGAGCCGACGGGCCACGGCTGCTCCTCTGGATAGAGGCTGCCCGACCGCAGCCGCCCGAGCGGCGCGCGCGCCCCGCCGCCGACCAGCGGCCCGCCCCCGCCGACGACGCCGCCCCGGATCGCGCTGTGCTTGAGGATCGGGGCCGGGCGCACGAGGCCGTCGGGGCCCGGGCGCGCGCGGGTCAGCTGCGTGCCGGAGAACGTGCGCGCTGCGACGCGCGCTGCAACATCGTCTTCGTCGGCGCCGCCGCCACCCCCGCCGCTGCCGCCTGCGGCGCCAGCGCCTGCGCCGCCTGCGCTGCGTGCCCCGCGGCCGCCGGCCTCGTCCTCGGACCAGCGGACCGAGGGGCGTGACAGCATCGCAGTCATGCTCGCGTACCGCGTGACTAAACCCAGCACCTGCCGCCCGTCCGTATCGCCGTCGGCGTCGCCGCCGCCGCCGCTGCTGCGGGCGCCGAGCCCCAGGCCCGGCGCGCCGGCGCCCGCGCCAAGGCCAAGCGCGCCGGCCGCGGACGTGGGCGGGCCCGGCCCTGCGCTCGAACCCGAGGAGTTGGCGACGCTGGCGCCGCCGGCGCCGAGCGCGAGCGGCGGCGTCGCGCGCAGCAGGCGGGCTACCGCCGCCGCGTCGCGCGCGTGCTCGGGGCGGCCGGCGTCGCCGGGGCCGTAGGGGCGCGCGTCGCTCGAGTCGCCGGCGCGCCAGTCCCTGTGTAGACGAAGGAAGAGCAGCAGACACGTCAGCGTTCCCGGCACCTTCCTGCAAGGCCCGTAATCGCTGCAATTGCCCCCTCCCGTTCCTGTCCCACCCACAACCCCAGCCCCTTGCACGGCCCACCTGAACACCCCTTCAGCTAGGGTTGCCTCTGTCGCCACCTGCCCGCCGTGCGCCGCCGCGTCCATATACCTCGCCGCCTGGCGTTTGTGGGCGGGGGAAGAGCGTTGGGGCGCGGGTGGGGCTTATGGGAGCGCTGGCTGTATGAGCGCCTCATGTAGCAACCCGGGCTGCCTTTGCACGCACTGAAGACAGCACAGACAGATTGGTTCCCATGAACAGGCACACTTGCTTCGCGACTCTTGCTCGCGCATGCACACGCACACGTGGGCACAACACACTTGCGCTCCGTCTGCATCTTCGCCCCCCTGTTCCTCTACCTATCTGTCACACACACACACACACACACACACACACACGCACGCACGCACTCACACACACACGCACCTGATTGACGCTCGCCCCGTGGTAATCGACGCGCCCCACGTGGTCGCACAGGATGCTCCGCGGCACGCCCTCGCACACGCCCATCTTCAGCCGCGGCCCGCGGAACAGCAGCGCGCCGTCTCCTGGCGCGTGCACCTCTGCGAATTCCGGCGTCTCCAAAACCGACGCCGGCCAGGGCGCGTACATGGCAGCCTCTTGCACCAGCAGGCACCACTCCAGCGCGGCGGCGGCGCTCGGGAAGGCGAGCATGTACTTTAGCTCGCCCTCCTGCTCTCGGCAGAGGTAGCCGCCGGGCACCGCGTCGAGCGCGGCGGCCATCACGCGGCGCAGCAGCGGCGCGACCGCGGCGGCCTCGGCGGCGCGGCGCCAGCGCAGGAGCGACTTGGCGCCCTCGACGGCGGCGAACACCTGTGATTGGGAGGACGGGATGCGGAATCTTAAGAGTGTGTGTGCGTGGGTTTTGCTTGTGGGTGTGTTGATGCGTGCGTGTTTATGCGCGCACGAACAAGCGGGCAAGCGACTGCAATCAGGAGTCCAACAGGCAGAGGAGGGAGGTGGGAAGGGGAGGCATACGAGCGCGTGCCCGGCGTGACGCGTACACCCGAGCCGCAACACGGCTGCAGAGGACCCCTTACCATGGTGACGGGCGGTACGTCCCGCTCCGGCTCCAACCCGCCGATCGCCGGCAGGCTGGTGCCCAGCCCCTCTGCAAACTCGGCGCCCGGCGCGTCGAAGAAGCCCCTGTCAGTCTGGCGCCAGCCGTCCTTCACGTTCAACTGGCTCCCCCACGCCTTGGCGCGCTGCGCCAGCCCCGCGGGCAGGACCGAATACACTCGCAGCAGCTGCCGCGCCGGGCGCGCCGCGGCGCCGCGCCCCGGCCGGCCGCCGCCGCGCCCCGTCAGCGATGACTGGGACGGCTGCAGCAGGCGCAGCGCTGCTTCCGCGGCGGCGCGGCCTGTGAAGGACGGCGCTGACAGGGACGGCTTGGACAAGTCGTCCCCGCCCCTGCCGCCCTTGCCGTCCGCAGCCTTGGGCGTCCGTGCGGCCGCATCGCCCTTCGGCGTCCGCGGCTGCGGCTCGCCGCCCGCCGGCGTGGCGGCCGCGGC